CACCCACGTTCCGCTTATCCACTCATCCGTCCGTGGTCACTTCTGTTGCTCCCACCTTTTGGCTTTCGTGAATAGCGCCGCCATGAGCGTGGGCGTGCAGCTACGTCTTCGAGTCCCCCCTTCCGGGTCCTTGCGGAGCGCATGCCCACACGTGGAATTGCTGGACCAGACGGCAGTTCTGTGCTGCGCTTTGTGAGGAAACGCCAGACCGTTTCCCGTTGGGGCTACACCATTTCACATTCCCACCGACAGTGCGCACGGGATCTGGTTTCCCCATAACCTCGCCGACACTCGAAATGGCTTTTTTTGTTCGTTTTCACGGGAGCGATCCTTCCGGATCAAGCCTGGAAGTAATTGTCTACTCAAGGCATTGGACTTTTTCGCCTGCGTCGCTCAAACACGGTGGCAGGGAAACGCAGCCTAGCGTGCGCCTTTAAGTTTTCCATTCCTGTGCCCCCCTGCTTCCCCTGCCCACCCAGAGGCTCCTGCCCCGGCTGCCAGGCCTCCCTTCTTTCCGCCAGTTTGGTCTTCGGCTGCTACCCCTGCCCTGGAGGTGGGGGTGCTGCGACCCCCCCAGGGGTGGAAACACCGGCCTCGCTCATCTCATCGTCTACTTCTGTCCGTCTCCTTCATCCCTTTCCCTGAACCTGCACCAGCTGAGCTTTGGGGAGTAAATGCTAGGTGAGGCGGTGAGGTGCCAGGGCCGTGCAAAGGGCCGGGAGAGCTGCACGCCCAGGGTCAGACCCCAGCCGCATAACCTGTTACTGCCCTACGTTAACCCCGGCAAGCGGCAGGCCAGCTGAGCCCTCAGAGATGGATGATAGGCTGTGGGGAAGCTGAGCGCCATTGGAATCCCATCTCCACCCCTTCCTGATCACAGGTAAGCGGCTCAGCCACTCTGAGCCTCAGTTTTGTCTTCCGTAAAATGGGACATTTGTTTCCCGTGGCGGCTGTGACACTTGGCGCAACCTTAGTGGCTTAAAAACAACACACATTTGTCATCTTATGGTTCTGGAGGTCAGAAGTCTGTAATGGGTCTCACTGGGTTAGAATCGGTGCTGCTAAGCCTGTGGTTCCTTTTTTTTTTTTTTTTTTTAAGTTTATTTATTTATTTTGAGAGAGAGCGCGCACACGAGCGGGGAGGGGTAGAGAGAGAAAGAATCCCAAGCGGGCTCTACACTGTCAGTGCAGAGCCTGACCTGGGGCTCGAACTGTGAGATGATGACCCCAGTCGAAATCAAGAGTCAGACGCTTGACCGACCGAGCCACCCAGGCGCCCCCCGCCTGTGGTCCTTTATGGAATCTCTAAGGGAAAGTCCGTTTTCTGGTGTTTTCCAGCATCTAGAGGCCCCATTCCATTTTCACGGCCAGCAAGGTTACATCTCCAGGGCTGACACCAACTCTCTTGCCTCCCTCTTTTACTTAGGAGGATCCTGTGATGACCACAGGGTTTCCCTAGAGAATCCGGGATACGCTCCCTCGTTTAAGACAGCTGCTCGAATTAACTCATTAATGCAGCCTTAATTCCATCTGCTCCCTTCATTCCCCTTGCTGTAACCGAACAAAGTCTCAGGATTAGGACGTGGCCACCATTGGGAGCCAGTATTCTGCCTCCCGCAGGTGACGACAGCTGTGCCCCATGGAGAACGGGATGAACGAAATAAGCCACGTGGCAGTGCATGTAGCATGTCACCCCGTGTCGTTACTGTTTTTGTTGTTGGAACGTGGACGATTTCTCCTGGAGGGAGAAGAGGAAAGCTGCCTGACCGTGAGCTGAGCCTTGGTGTTCTCACCTGGGAAATGGGACCATCTCCTGACTCGGAGGGTGGTTGTGCTGTCTCGAGGAGATGGTCCCTGGCTGTTTAGCTCATGCAGAGTATACAGCTGGTGCTCGCATCGATGAGTATTTTCCTCCTGAGTTGACCAGCTGCAGAGAGAACTTTAGAGAAGCCTCACTCCTCAGGTCTCTCCTTCACGCTTCGTCCTTGTGTCAGCACGGCCCCTGCACAGGTGGGGCTCGGGTTGTGACTGGGGCTCTTTGCCTAGAGCTTGTGACCTTATGATCTTGGCATTCGTGCCTTGATTCTGTGCATACCTGCCCCAAGTGCCCATAGTAAGGAATAGGTGTCAGACCCAAGGCTCCTTAGCCCTCTCCCTGTGGTGACCCACCTGCTCAGGCTGTACCCTCCAGTGTGGCGGCCCTGTCCTGTAGCTTCTACAAAGTCCCCAGGTGACGTCGATCGGCCGTGACATGTGACATGGCCAGTGTCATTCCGCCCCCAACCAATCACTGGGGGCGGTGGGGGCAGTGATGTTCTCATTGGCCAGGCTGGGGTCACAGGGCCACCCCCGGGGCACCCTCTCCCTGTCACCTGCCTGGTTTCCACTAAGGTAGGCCCAATCCCCACTTCCCCATCATCCTCCTACCCTTCCTTTCCTGCGAATTGTTGCCTATGTGTGAATCCGTCTCCCCAGTGAGGCTGCAAGCCACTCCCTGGGAGGGCTTAAGACTTAGACGCCTAATTCATACACCCTTTTGCTGTTATCTTGGATGGCAGGACATTCCTTTGTTCCTCTGAGCCTCAGTTTCTTCATCTGCAAAATGGGTACAGTAACTACGGCATGCCTGGTAGGGTTGTCACGAGGATAGAAGGAGCTGATCGATAGGAGTGACTAGCACAGGGTCCGGTGCTCAAAAGGTTGTGTCTCCTCACCCTTGAGGCCTTCTCTGACCCCAGCTATGCACCAGGGGCAGCGCCTCTGAGCTCTAGCTCTGGAATCTGGCACACACAGACCCAGTCCTGCCTCTTCAGCTCACGTGAGCCTCCGCCTTCTGAGCAAAAAACGGGCTTCACATCCCCGCCGGAGATAATGCCTGTCAAGAGCCTGGCACTGAGGGACCGTAAATGATGGCCACGTTAATTTTACCGATGAATGGCCAACTCCCCCCAGTTTCTGGGGCAATGGGAACCTGGCATCAGAGGCCTGGCTTCAGTGTTGCCTCTCTGGGCCTCAGTTTCCCCATCTGTAAATGGGGCCTCACCCGTGAGGGTTGTGACAAATGGCGTTTTTGTCCTTCACCTCCCCCCTCCCCCATCTTCCCCCAAGCCACAGGGCTGCCATTCAGCCTTTATTGACAGAAGACATTTATTCGTCACTACTCTTACAGAGTCTTGGTGTTGCCCGAACGCGGGGCCTTTGTTGACAATGACTCAAACATCTTAACTTATGGGGG